TACATTTCCTTCACTAAAGGGAATTCAAAATAGAAGCCATTCTTTGCTTTCAATCATATTACTGAATGGAAAATGTTTTATTTATTTGTATTTGATCCCATATTTACAAGATTATCAGCACAACATTGTGTGTGATGTGTCTGAATTTTAACCCTGGTTTACATTTTTTAAAGCAGTTCAGAATTAATACAAAATAATAAGTATAGAAATAAAAAGTGTATAACACGGCCTTGACGTGAAACCTTACACATATTTTTCATCATGCCAGAATACACACACAGACACATGCAGAAAAACAAACGCATCTTCTCAGTCATAAATGTTGCCTACCACAATGATTTAACCAAGATTGTTAACACGATAACATATTGTGAAAGAGCAAACAACAAAAATCTCGGCAAATTTCACTTTCAAAAGATAAAAGGATGACATTGAAGGAAAGCTCAAGAGAGAAAATACTCTCTATGGATAAAAAGGAGTCATATGGACACTTGGAGCTGGTAGATTAGGGATTATGTACAGCATTTAGACACAACACAAGCATGCATGTACACACACACAAACACACACACCTGAGCATGACAGTCATCTCTGCCTTTCCTCCTTTCCACTCTCTCGCTCACCCCTGTGCTGAGCCGAGATCCCGCCCCCCGCCTGCTCCTTTATGACAGCATGACATGTACACTGGCCTCGGCAGCAGGACAACTGGAAGAACTGGTTGTTGCTGCACGACCTTGCATATTCAAAACCACACATCAGACTCAAAGCCATCATCTGTGTCCACTTCCTTCATATACATATGTCCATAAAGTAAATGCTGCCACTTGACATTCTTCTCTTATTTCAGTGAAGACGCATCCACACAAAGGTAGACCTTCATATCTATAGTGCTCTGTCTCTCAAGAAGCAGAGGTTTTACTAAAATACAATATATGTTAATAATAATAATAATAATAATAATAATAATACAAATAATAATTATAGCATTTCAAATGTTACATTCCTAAAAGACACATTCTTTTTCAATATTCCACTTCAGTCAATCAGAGCATTATAACATAATAAGATGGATTTAATTGTTCTGTGTGTATAGACTTCCTATAGCAAACACACTTAAATTGTGATGAATCTCCCATGTACGGCCTTAGCCTACAAGTAACCCAAAGAGGGCTCTCTTCAACCGATAACATGGCAACGAGCTCCCCCACGGAGCCAATGCCCGTGCACAGTAAGGTTGTAGTTAAAGAGGGAGCTATGCAGAGACACATTGAGAATGGAGATGGAGAAGGGGGGGGGTGACAGAGAGCGAGAGAGAGAGAGAGAGAGAGAGAGAGAGAGAGAGAGGAACAGTGAGAGGAGGAGAAGGGGTTATGACAGCCAGAGGCGCTGTCTCCCCTTTCTCTGTGTTACCCCCAAACCATGAAACAAGCCTATCCATGACGACTACTCCCTTTATCTAATTTCCCCGACTGAAAGCGCTACCCCTGCTCATGCAGTCCAATCACATCTGAATACTCTGAATATACCTGTCATTGAGTATGGTAATAGAGGGAGGCCAAAGGTAAACAGTGGACAGCCGTTTTGCTGCTGTGCACGATCAATGGCAAGTACAGTTAAAAATCTGGTCAAATCACAGCATAACAACACCAAATGTTTTTTTCATGATACGAAGAACCATTGAAACAGCAGCAACACACACATATCAATTCCTGCAGATATGTACTTGCATTGTTTGTCATATAACTAGAAGCATTTTCTATTACTAAATGCACAGCACCATCGTCACAAATAAACTAAGCTGTGTTATCTTAGACAAAGGATTTTTTTCCATGTTCCACTTTCAAATAACATGCTTACAATTTATTATGGTTTTATAACCCTATGTGTGCTGGTTAAAAACAGTTGCACGATATCACAAAGATATAGAGCAATTACAAATAAATTCAAACTAATTCTAATGAAATTAATTAGTATAATTAAGATGTGTGAAATATCTGCATGACAGTATTTCTTATTTATTTTTAACAGAGTAATATCCTGTTTTACAGTTTTTCTTCAGTTATGGTATCTGCACATGTGCCTTTATTAATATTCATTCATTCAAAATCAAATTTAAAAGAAGAATCCTACCTTCTTGAAAACATTTAAAAACATTGAAAAAACAACTCTGATCCCAAGTAATGAGCTAAAAATTAAAATTGCCTATTTTCAATTAGCTTTCACAAAAACACTGTCTGTGGTAAAACCATCAATCTGGTGGCAGCTCACAGTTCTCACAAGCACAATACTTCCAATATCACAGTCAAGGATAAGGATGAGATATTAGTTAGCTACACCGAACACAGCGTCTGACAAACACACATTTGAAATAGAATACATATAAAATAAACCCAATGACATTCCTATACCAATGCCAGGAACTGTAATAATTAAACATAAATATGATGATGAGACAAGCCAGGAAAAGCAGACAGGTAAGATGACAGTAAACATTTCTGCTGTCTTTGTTTTGTAACAGAAGACGGAGAGAGAGGGAGGAGGAGGAAGAGGAGAGGAGTGTTACTGTCAGATAGGGGAGGAAGAGAGATCACTCGAGTTCTCGCACAGCAGCCTATACCTGCCCTATACACTACAACACCTTTGAGTTTCTAATCACTGGAATCCAAACACATACAATGTGCTGTCTTAGACGCACACAAATAATACTGGGGTAAACATACCAAAGCAATACGAAAAGACGAAGGAGACAAATATTAATTTTATAACTGCTATAAATTAATCAACCCTTTTCCCCCCAGTGCTAATCTCTTCCCGTCTGTTCCTCTCCAGACTGAAAGGTAGGATTCTGTTTATCTGACCTCTTCCCCTGATTCCTCCTCTATGGCCCATGGCTATTTGACCCCTCCACCCAACCCCCTCCTGCCCTCAGCCCCCCTTTTCCTTTCTCTCCATGAAAGCCTTAACGTTTTGTTTTATTAAACCTGTTACCAGTTGTTTTTTGTTGCTCTCATCCTAAACTAAAGCCAAAGTCGTAATCCAGCAGATGCTGACGACCACAAGTGCTTTGTGTGGCTCCCAAAACATACCAACAACTATACCATCACCCTTTTTTCTCCAAGCGAGACCCACTCTCTCACCATCGTCCCTCGGCTGTTTGCGCGGGGTTTCCTCTCTTTCCTTTTTATCTCTGCACTCACTCCATGACCCCTGTTCCCCCTGTTCCCCCTGTTCCTTGCTGTCTGACCTACACCCCCCACCCCACACCCACACACACAGTTTCCCACCCCCCTTTCTGCTTTCTGTTTCCCCCAATGGAACACATATCCTTGCCACTGCTCGCTCGCAAAACCTCTTCTTCTTCTTCTTTCTTTTCCCGTCTCTATGTCGCTAAAAATATCCGAGGCTGGTGTATCATTCTCGCAGCTTTTTCTGGCTATATAGCTCCATCACATCCGAAACCAAATGCTATTTTTTAATCACATTAATGGAGCTTGAAAATACACCTAATCGTCAAGATAACAATTGCATTTCCGTTTTATTTATTTTTCCGATCAGATCCATTTTTCGGCGAGGTTGGTCATAATGTAATCATAGGCAGTTAAACTGTGTATTTTATTTGGAAAAGGCCCATCCAGTTTAGTAAGGCTGCTATTATATTTTCCTCCGAGAGTACAGACTATTCTATTTTGGGTAAGAGAAAGATGTCTTGTTTAACTTGCACACAAAAAAGAAATCCTGCCAATGTTAACTGGCTAAGCGGCTACTAAATGCATGCAGTGACCTATAGGTTTAGCTTGGACCGTACTTTAAGTTTCCGGCAGTAACTTTGGAATGATTATGGCTGCTTAAGGTCAGACTAATAGGGCAATGTTTTGTTTTCATTCCGGCCAGCATTTCTCGGGGAAAAAAATGTTCTCCTGAAAGTCAGATACGGTAGCCAAGTAGTTGGAGGCAGCAGCAGCTCCAGCCTGCCCTATGTCTTCCCTAAACCACATGTCTGTTCTCTGAAACGCAGCTCAGACTCTCGGGCTGTCCGTGTACAAGGTCCTGCTGATCCGCTCTTGTCATGAAGGAGACCCGGGGCTTCGTTCATCTCAACACACACATTCACACAACACACACACGCTCGCAAAACACGAGCCCATTCGCGCACGCACGCACACATACACACATGTCGATCGATTTGCATGTGACTTCGTCAGGGAATGAGCGAGAATCGACTTAAAAACAACGCTTCAAAAGAGCCAAACAGCGATGAAAAATAAAAAGACAAGATGGACAAAGTGGGGTAAAGGGGAAAAGTGTAGCTTGAGGAACTAAGACAGGGCGGAGGGATTGCACATTTCACAGAGAGACGTATCGAAGAAGAACACAAATGTGTTTATCCAGAAGAGGATTTTAAAGCATACGACGGTGCTGCAAACCCTTGGATGTGGCAAGTGTCAAATCTGTAAAAATAAGAAAGCGAGAGATGGTCCCTTTCGCCGGACGCACACGGACCCACAGGCTGGACTTGGAGCTCCTTTTCTGGGCTGCGCTCATGTGGAGCTGCCGCTGTCCTTCGTCCGCTCAACACAACCCCTTTTCTTATTGCATCTGTGCCTTAAAACACGTTTCTTGACACCCATAAGCCCTTTATACCTGTTCCTGATCCCACCGAAATGCACATATCTGTTTTAAAACCGTGTTTTTCTACGGTCAACTGCTTGGAGAGGATCGCTGTCTTGCCCATTTCTTATCTTCCATTCATGAGGAGGAGAGGACGAACGCTGATGTAAACACAGGTAACGATACGAATAAAATCGAGAATAAAACAAACTACTTGCATGAAATGAACTTGTGATCGCCAGTCATTTCTCACAATGTGAGAAAAACCAGCTTCGCTACACGTAGCGTAAACTACGAACAGATAGGAAAACAGATTCAGATAAGTCTACAGCGAAAAGAATAGGATCGTGGAAACAGAGAGGAAAAGAGACAAACGCAAAGTTGAAACTTACAATTTCTCGCTGCCGCTTTGTGATCCTCGCTTTTTAATCCAGTATTGAGATGATTTAGCTAAAGATCCCATCAAGGCAGTCCCCTTTTGGTCAGTTTGCGCTTAGGGTGGCAAAAGAAAGATCATTGTTGTTGCGGAGTGTAAAAAACCGAAGTAGGTAGCCTACTATTAGTTGTTAAAGGCAATATAAAAATAATTTGGATGCAAAGCAGGCGATGAGTCTTGTGTTAGAGGGAGCGAGGAAGAGGTGAAAGTGAGATCTGATGATTGAAAAGAAAAAACTCTTTGGATCTTTATTCCTGCTAATTAGTTTCCTGCAAAAAATGGCTGTGATTAATTCAGTGCGCATGTGCTTCATTACACAGGCACGAAGGGAAGGGCTAATTAGCCGCCTTCTGGATCAATAAGATTCAGCAAAGGAGAGAGCTCGGGAGAGAGAGGGAGGGAGGGAGGGAGAAAGAGGAGGGAGGGAGGGATGGATAGATACAAGTAAAAAAAGAGGAAAGTAATGATCAGGAATTGAAAATATGGAATTAAGAACAGCGGAAAGTAAGAGTTTGATTAGACGGAAGACAGTGAAAGTTAATACTGAAGCAGGCAGCCGCAGCAGGCAATGCCCGACGCTACATGCACAGCTTTTTCTCCGCTCTTTTTCGACTTTTTCAAACGTTTTTGTCCCGGTTTTTGCCTTTTTAAATACAATATTTGCATATGCTTTGGCAACTTTAAGTACATAAGCGATCATGCTTTATTTTATTCTGTCTCTTTCAACCTAAGTCTGTCATTTTAGCCGTTCCAAAGCTGCACAGGACGGTTACTACATTTAGTTTACAGTCTGTTTGAACAACTTATTGAAATACATAACTGAGTTACGGCGGCTAGTGATTACACTGGAAACATTCTATTCTTTAGGATAGTGCACTTGTTAAAGTGTAAGCAATGATCGTATTTGCAAACAACTTAAACAAACACTTGCCAAACAATTAAAGCATGTATAAAGCGATGTCTACATGTGCACTCGATGTAGCCTACTGTAATCAGTAATAAACAGGGGTTATCGTAAATACAGTATACCTGGATATTATCACAGCTAAAACTGTATTTGTTTTTGTAAATATACATTTTAAGCATTGAGAGAAATACCACTTGCTCAGAGACAGAAGTTGACAATGCGAAGCTTCAAAATGTTAACTTTGATAAACTTGAAGCAATTCAATCTTTACACATCATATAGTGAACCCCAGCTTATTTACAGCTTTACATTTCATACAAATATTATAAGTTAACGATGGTAGGTTTAAAGAAGAATGCTCAAAATTACTTGAATAAAACTTAGAGCAATGTGTGTTCCTAAACTCATATTACTGTGTAAATGCATGGATTAATTTGAATGAAAGAATACAATTAAGACTCAAAACTACATTTGAAAAAGTGAAATTCAGCTTTATAAAATATGACATGATAGTATGACGGAGATGAGATGCAAGACGTGTCGTTTTGACACTGTAACTTTAAATGCAGTGTATACTTTATAACACAATTATAATATAAAATAAACGAATTGATTCAATGATGTGAGATCATTCACAGCACAAATGTTTTAGTATTTTTCGAGTGAAATTATTAAACTTATAAGAGCTGCTTTGTATCATTACAGTATGCAAACAAGTCTAGCTCTTTTTTTTTTAAATACTTGTTTAAGACCAATTGTATCCTATATGGGTGTGACAATTTATTTAAATTTGAGTCGCGGGTGGTTAGGAAATATAAACAGGTTTATAGTTCTGCACAGCAGTGCAAAGCTTATATATGTGACACAGTGGGATGACGGGGGAACAGGTTATCGTGACATCTATTACGAAACCGCTGGGAACACGTTGTCAATGAGTGTTGGTTCTTTTAAATAATAATAACACTATAAATGTGTGACAAGGTGGGTGAGTGGTATGGTGTTTGGTCAGCTCCGGCCTCAGTTCATTCATTTTGCTCTATAGTTATACTGATATGTTGACAAGGAGTCCAGATGGTCAGTGCCTTGTCTCATTTTGATCTCTCCTGATCCTGAATTTCTGAAAGGCTTTATGATCAATACCAACAATTTTTGAGGTTCTCTCGTTTGTTTCTTTCTCAAAAATCTTCCCGTAAAGCACTTCGCCTCTGTAACTGATGTCCTCTCATTTCCTCCGAATGAAAGATTGTATTGCAGAAATCAACCTTTGAGTCTCTCAGTGCTCTTTGTTATGATAATTTTATTGTTGATTCTCCGAGGAAATGGACAATCCCTCACTCTCAGTAAGCACACTTTCTGTGCAAACAGTTCCATAAAGAGTCCTGGTCCACCGAATGCAAGTAGCTGCTCTCACTGATCACATAACGTGCCATGTTTATTGAAACAATACGGATTTGATAGGCTGCGCCTATATAGTGAATTCCGATACAGAGTTAATAGTTAAACGGCACCTATAGTCGAATTCAAACATTGTCCAAACATGCTTTAGAGCTTGAAGTGGCCATAATACAACGGTGCATAAGAGATAAGCCATAACTGGGTTAATAAAACGTCCTTAGATATTTATTTTTCCAGACGCGTATTGGATAGAAATACATGGCACAGATAAATATAACGCGTGTTTTTATTTCTTAAGATTGCACACAACGGATAGCCTATGTTAAGCAGTTCGTGTTGTTGTAGTGGTGACGATTGCTGATGAAATATAAAGTAGGCTATATATTCTATATTTTCCAAAGGCCTTTTGGCTTAAGGGTTAGAAAGGTTATGAAACCTCCACGGGACGCGGTGTTTTCATAGATCCAATAGCATATATCTATTAGAAGAGCCTATGAAAATCAAACTTATATATCGTAGCCTAGCATATGACCAAGACCCAACTCCCCATCTCACAATCACACTCTCTCTCTCTCTCCCCCCATCGCTCCCTGCTAGAATATATAGTGTGCTGTAACACGGCATTTCCTCAGCACTTGCCATCCTTAAGCCGAGGCAGGCACTGATACCTGTTTTTAAGCAATGTAGCATCTGCTGTGTGGCATGTCTCTCTCAGAAAAACAAGAAAAATGCATTGCCCCGTCGAACAGCTCACATTTTTGCAGTGTGAGAAACAGACTACAGGAATCTCGAGGATTTGTGCGTGTCTGCTCTCTCGGGAAGGAGAGATTGTAAAAATGAATAGGTTGAAAATAGCGTGCGAGCGGAGTTAAAGGGGCTACGAGATAATAAAAGACTATGGTGTAATTTGAGGCTTGTAGTAGGCAGCTTTGAGCCAGTCAGTCGCCTAAAGCCTAACAATGCAAACTTCAGTTTACAAATGTATGCAAAGGCCTGATTGACATTACTCCTTCAGTGACCATATTGAGTAGGCTACGGTGTAAGCTAAATCAAAAGAACACCAGCCAGACGGAGGCCTTGATGCTTTTAGGGCCTATGCATCACTGAAAGGGGAAAAGGGGGGACTGACAGGGTCTGAAGCTTTTGTGTTACTAGCGTTCAATTGCGCCTCTCTGTGGGAAGGATAACTGTCCACGTGCCAGCCTCAATAGGCATACATCGATGAGTGGCATTGCAAATTCAACACAACCTGTGGCTATGACAGCCCGTGGATATGACAAAGAAAGGCAGAGTAGCTTAAAATTCAGAATGCTTACTAGATGTGTGGCACATGAAAGTGCTTGACCACCACCAGAACTGCAAGGAACAAAACATTCAGACAGAGGGCAAAGCCCATAATCGTTTTGAGCGTTGTTTTGTGATGGGGTTATGCACACCCGTGTGCATAACATGTCGTTTTAAGTTATTTGATTAAGTCTTCAAATATATACAAAAATCAAAACCAAAAAAAAACGTTTAGTTATTTTATGCATCAGCTTTCGCAATCTCAGACAAAGCACAAAGGGAAACAGAGTAAAGATAAAAACCTGCAGTGGAGAAATGCCTATAACTTTATAAAGAGATAACGACCATTACATTCCGAAGTATTTGGCGATTTAAAAGTCTTACAGACTGCAATATTAACAAAGAGGGTGTCATTCATATTATGCTATAAAATATTTCTAAATAATAGTGTAGACTGGAACCTCAACGTGGGACACAAAACGCTGTGTTTATTTTAATGGTGATGAAATGAAAAATACATTGTTATTTTACTTTAGTGTTGATGTTGATGAAAGCAAAATAGTAGGGTCTGTAGGTTAGATTCTCAGATTGGCTGAAAATAGTCAGGAGCCACATTTTTATATGCAGGGCAAACCCCTTCTTAACTCAGTTTAGACTATTTTGTGAAATAGAGATGATGCACATAACATTTTTTGAAATGACTTTAATTAATAGCATATCAGTATAACAGTAACGTGTAGCATACATCTTGGTATGAAAAAACGCTCAATTAGATTTTTTTATGAAAATATGTATATGCTGTACTTATTTTCAAATTTGTTTTTTATGATCCTCGACAGAATGAAGCAGTTGAGGCTGCACTGTTTACCACGTTGCACATATGGGAGCCTGGTGTCCGGCTCTCCATGTGTGCAGGGTGGATAGGGCAGCGCAGCCAGGTGCAATGGGAGCGCCCTCTTATGTTCAGCCTGACCACTGGGATCAAGCAGCGCATCAACTCCTTTACAGGAGCCAAGCGCCTGCGGACCAGCTGGTCTTTGCAGTCTTTGCAAAAGCGCACATTTGCCTTTCCATCTACCATATTAAACTGCCTCCCATATGAATGATGTAAATCTATACCCGGTCGGGATGTTGCTGGGTCGAATTAGACGCAGACAATCAAAGGCGAAAATCACAAACATTTCAGATAAACATTTTACCAAAATAGCTGGTCTTACACGGTCCGAAACTGTTATATTTCTTGATACTGATCATGGGAGTTAGAAAGGCAAAAGCCCAGCACAGATCAAACTTGGACTTGGCCTTATTAGCGGAGCGTTCTGCATACATCTGCATATTTAATGTCAAAATGTATACACCATTTTTTTTTTATTGTATTAAATGTGTATATTTCATTCAAGATTAACTTTATTTGAGTGGTTATAAGTTGTGTTTGATTGTAGATGCAGGATATTTTATACTCCAGATGACTTTCCACCATTACCATCATGGGTAAAGCATTATGTCCCTGGTGGAAAGGAAACACATGTTTTTTGTGCAAATACTTATATGCATTTTATTTCTTCGACTTTATTTTCTAAAGCAGTATTTGCACATATTCTAAAACTGCATCCGGCTGTGGATTAGATTCCCTTTTAAAAAAAAAAAAAACCTTGTGTCATGTTTGGCATACGGAGAATCTTCTTGAAGTGAATACAACTCAGTGTGGTGACATTTGTGTGTAGCTTTCTGTATAAAACTGAAATGCAACGTGTGTAATTG